TCCAAGCCCATTGACTCTGACTCTCACAAGAAAGGTAAAGGCAAGACTATGAAGTCTACTAAACACAAGTTCAAGATGGGTGGTAAGCGGCAGAGTGGACCCTCTTCAGCCAAGCCTGGTCCCACAACGCCTTCTACGAATGCTCAAGTTATGGATGAATCTTCTAAGGCTAATATTATTGGATCGTCTACCACTTCAGCCTCTACTATTTGGGTCTCACCCCTTAGCTCAACCGACCTCAACTCTAACTCAAATGCTCTTCATGCCAACAACGGAGCATATTGTTCAACAACGCCTTCAAAGTCCTCACGGATCTCTATGGTGGTTGGTGATCTATCGGTATGCGGTGTAGTACGACCTGTTCTCTACGATACCGGCGCTGACGTCTCCCTTATCGCAGTTGGGACTCTACGAAAGATCACTAGCAAACAGCTACGTTTTGGTGACCCATCTACTCAAGGGCGGGTAAATGTTGCTAATGGCTCAAGCCTCTCTATTCTAGGAAAGGTTGAGCTAGAGGTCGGCTATGGGAATACCTTTACAAAAGATACCTTCCTACTCGCCTCTGATGAGTTGAGTACTCCTGTTATTATTGGATGCTCTACTATGGCTAAGCTACGTACCACTATATCTATATCGCCTGATGGTATCATTGTTCGATTGGGAGAACGACCTACTCAAGTTTCTACAGTTGACGGTACTGAACCCCGTCTATCACTGCGTGATATGGATTGGTTACGTAAAGTTGCTGTTATGCACATCAGCCATGTTGTCTCTCTATCATCTATATCGGTATCTAGAGTCAAACCTTCCATCTTTATTAAGCCTAGTACTCTGGAGTTCTGCTACGACGGTAAAGATGATAACTATGTTCTCTACGATACCTTCAATGATGACGTTGAGATCCATCCCGATCTTCCGTTATCTATTGGTTATGGCTCTACTATGTGTTTTGATGCTATCACTGACTCCTCTCTAGCCCCAGACCGCGATCTACTTCCACCTTGGGAAGTTATATCTAGGGAATGGATCAGTGATAAGATTGCTCCACTAGGTCGTGTATCTACTGAAGTACCATGGCGAAGTCAAGACCGTCCTGGTTTCAACTTTCACTACGCGGCTAAACGTGGTCTAGCCTCTATAGCTCGTCTAGATTCTAAACAGCAATCTATGTTTGAGGATGCCCTTTCACAACTTGTCGATAGGGGTTTCTGTTCGATTGTCTGTGATCTACGGTCAACTGGTTTGAAGAAGCCAACTAGAGCTATGTGTCAAGCAGCTTGGTCTACGTTGGTCAAGGGTACTGCCAATGAGGGTTCTCCTGTTCCTCTGGCGGAACATTACACTCCTTCACATCTAGTGTATCGCCATCTACATCCTACTACACCGTGTAGGGTGGTGTTCGACTTTAGAGACCTAAACCGCTTCTCTAATCGTGGTGGCTATCCTCAGAACTCTCTAGCCGGT